TCGAACCAACCGGTATGGTACCATACTGCAAAACAGGATTTTGAATGCATTTTTAAAAATTGTATCCCGAACTGTATCGTTTCCAAATCATTACATAACCGGTTTTCATAAAATGAGAACCGGTACCGAACTGGACCAGATGGAAGTATAGGTTCACGAGTTCATCTATACATAATACATTTACCCTAAGCTCCTAAGACCGGTATACTTTTTTGCTTAGCTAGTTCACTACTCGTAGCTATAGCACTCAACTTGTTTAACTAGTTTCTTTACTTAGCTAGTCCTTTTTTTACAGTTAGCTAGTCCTTAATTAGTTTTGCTTTAAACTCTTCAATTTGGTTGTTAAGTTGGCAAAATCAAAATTTGTAAGCTCAGCTACCAATGGAGATGAAAAAAATATTTCAAATTAATATATTGCAGTTGCAATACTCTATTTGGTATTACAGCTGCCCATGATAGTAAGTGCAACTTGATTACCTGAATTCTACTTTTGTGACTTTGTTTGCGTGTTCATAAATTCTCTTATTTAACATTATAAATTTTTAACTAACTTGAGTTTAAATGATATGAGGTGAAAACTGGTTCAAACCGAGAGGATGTAGTATAAAGGTGAGCATGTAGGACTTAGTATCTTAAGTTTAAATGTCTTCACTCTTGATTTAATGTATTGTACTACTTAAATGCATCTCAATTTTATTAATCATGTAATTTGGAAATTGATTTACTGTGTAGAGATTTGAATTATGACTAAACTTTGATGCGTGTATATAGCTTACGGATTCATTATATGAAGAACTTTTGCTTCATCTTAAACAATTCAAAAGTGAAATTGTTTAGCATTGATATGGTATTGTATCATAGCGTTTAAACGTGAAATGGTACCAACGGTTTTAGGTCTAAAACCGAACCGTACCATTTAAATAGTCTTTGTACGAATACGTCCTCGATAATATATTGGGCCGTCGTCCTAGAGCATGCCCACCCCTAGTTTCAATTTAATTTCTTCACATCAACAATTTTTTTATAAAAAAGGACACATATAATATTTTACTAACGACACAAATAATAATTCTGGCGACTCCAACTCTGGTTATTTTCCCGATCTTAAAAGGTGATGATGAAGTAGGTAAGATCGAAGATAATACAAGTTGATATGGTGAATATGGAAGATGGAGAATAAGGAACATGAATAAGATGGAAATGGTGAGGATGAGAGGTGATTGATATGGAAGATGGTAAAGATGGGAGGTGATGAAAAGACGGAAGATGATTACGATTTTTAATAAAGATGAAATAAAGAAGAAAGGAGGGGTGATAAAAATAGTAACTTTTAAAAGTTTATATAGGGTGTGTCAAATGTGTAGACAAAGGTGTACACCTAAACTTTTAGTTATATTTTATCTTTAACATGCACTCATGTTTAATATTTTGATATATCTTATCATATGAATGTTTTATATTTTATTTGTTAAAGATCAACCTCAACCCATGGTGCTCATCAGGGGGTTTGTCGACCTCCGGAAAACTAATAAGTACAGGAGGCTCAGATGAAGGTAGTAGAAGCATTAGGATTCTTGAACCATGTGACACTTGTGATTTTCATGAAGGTGGAACCGGACTTTCCACGTTCAGATGGTAAATCGTTTATTAATGTCTTTAAATAATTAAGTTTCTTATTGATAGTACAATACAAATGATTCATTTTCAAATAGAACTTATTTTGAATCTTTCAATTTTCCAAAAGGTTTTTAAGTTAGGATAAAGCACGCCCTTTTCAAACAAATTATTGTTTAACCAATAAATATAATCTCAATTCAGAAATTTACCCTAAATAAGAAAAGAAATATTATTATTTTCTAATTAAATGTATTGTGTTTTCTCATTAAATAAGAACCAATATCATCATTCCAAAAAATACTATCATATTGTGACATGATATCAACATATTAGTGTCTATAATGTCATAATATGACAAATATGATTTCTAGATGACAATGTGAACTCTTATTCCATGATAAAAACATTAGATTCTTGTACATGAAATTCATCTTGATTTTACTCATATTTCAGAAACTCCCATTTAAAATATATAGATCTAATGACCTAACTTTTTCTCGTTTCTCGCATCTTCTCATTTGTTCACATCCCTAAGTTTATTGCGTCAAACCCCCTCGTGATATATAAAATTTTCACATCAATACATCTTGATTTTAAAATGCATCAAACTCACCTATGTTATGATTAATTATGTATCTACTATCTTGGAAGTAAAAATTTAACTCTTTAATAAAATATGTGTTCAAACTGACCTATGTTTTGACAAAAATTCAGTGCATTTAATCATCATACTAAGACACGTTACTTCTAAACTGTTAAATTTGTAGCTTCCGGATTTTTGTGCATAATTAATTATAACATAGATGAGAATGACATTTTTTCTAAATCACAGAGGTTGATGTGCATAATCAGTATATCATCAAGGGGTTTGCCGCATAAACTCGTGTGTACTAATCCCATCCAATTGTCATTTGTCAACTTTTTTGTCTTAGTGGTCGTCTTAGGAATTACATCATTTTCATTTTAAGAAAACTAAGTTTTTATTCTTATTTTTTTTTTCTAATTTGCACAACTAATCACACCGACTATATTGTTTCATGTGTACAAATTAATTTCTCATGCATGAAAATTGAAAAGATTTGGTATATAAAAAAGAAACAAAAAACAGTCAATCAAAGCGAATAATATAAGATTCATTTCGTAACTTCCAATGATTAAAGGTATGCTTCTCAACAAATGCTTGAAAATGGCGACATAATGCTTGTTGGAGGGAGAGGGGCCTACAACTATGAAATTTTCCCGCCGGATCAATTGAGGTTCCCAATTCAACAATTCGGGCTTCCCTTCCTCATGGATACCACTGATGGCTATCTCGAGAACAACTTGTATCCCTTCGTCTACCTTCTCCCGGATGGTACAGTCTTCGTTTTCGCCAACGACCGCTCTGTCATCATCAACCCTCGTACCGGCGATGTGGTCCGAGAGCTCCCAAAACTTCCTGGCGGCTCCCGAAATTACCCTGCTTCCGGTCAATCAGCGCTTCTTCCACTGAAACTCACCTCCAACACCAACGATGGAGATTTCGTAAAGGCGGAGGTGTTGGTTTGCGGCGGGAATTCTCATGATGCTTTCAAATATACAGAAAAAGCACCGAGGAAGTTTCCACCGGCGTTGAAGGATTGCGGCAGGATTGTCGCGAATCAGGAAGGGGCGGAATGGGATATAGAAGAGATGCCATCAGGGAGAGTAATGGGGGATATGTTGATCTTGCCCACAGGAGATCTCCTCCTGATTAATGGGGCAAAAGCAGGGACCTCTGCGTGGGATGCGGCGGAGGAACCGAATTTCACGCCAGTGCTATATAGTCCGGAGAAACCAAAATGGCAGAGGTTCAATGAATTGAAGTCGTCGCAAATTCCGAGAATGTATCATTCCTCTTCGGCGGTTTTGCCAGATGGCAAAGTCTTAGTGGCGGGGAGCAACACACACGCCACATACGATTTCAAAGCCAAGTACCCAACAGAAATGAGGGTTGAGAAATTCGCGCCGCCGTACTTAGCCGCCGAGATGGCCCAATTTCGACCGCAGATCATGGAAGAGTTCTCCGACAAGCAATTGACTTATGGGCAGAACTTCAAGGTATACATCAATTTGACTGCTGAGGTGGGTATGGGTGATATAAAGGTTACTATGTATCCGCCGCCATTCACAACTCACGGCTTCTCTCAGGGCCAAAGATTGTTGAATTTGGGGCTTAACGAAGTAACGAATACAGTTATTTCCGTTATGGCTCCACCCTCCGGGAAGTTGGCTCCTCCAGGGTACTACTTGATCTTCGTGGTGCACCGTGGAGTACCGAGCAACGGAATGTGGGTGCAAATTCAATAACACATTTTATTAGGAAAGTGTGTGTAATCAATTGTAAATTGTAACTGTACCATTCAATGACAAACTAACATAAACTTTTTCTAATAGTTCTTAAATCTTCTTTTTCACATAGGCAATTTTGGAGTGTATTTAATGAACTAAGAAACAATGGTGAAGATGAGGACAGGTTGGAGGGGCCCAAGTCTCCTCAAGATAAAATATGTAATGTACATATATATATGTATAAATTTTTATGATCTGTAAAAAAAATATGTTTGAATTTTAAGTTTAGGCCCTGCAATATAAATGATCAACTATATATAACTAAGGTAACATAAAAAGCAAATTTTAGACTGCGACAATAATAGGACTATGTCTGCCCAATTTCACTAAGATATTTATGGAACCGAACTAGGGTTAAGTTGATTTTATATCTCCAATATAGATTCAACCCGGTCAAAATGACTACATGATTCAGGTCTGGTTTCATAACCACAACCAAATCTACCCATAACCATAATGATATTTGTGAAGGTTTACACGTTTTTATATATTAAAACTATGAAAAGATTTGTGCATTTTTATTCGTATATTCTTCACATCACATAGATTGGTCTAATAAGTAATAACCAATTCCTTACCAATATTGATCCACACATTCGATTATTTCCATATATGCATTTTTATTTTTACATAAAAGCATGTGCCAATGCAAACAATAACTTAAAAGCTAATGGAGCTTACAATGTTAAGATGTTTTTAATTAGATTAACTTTACTCTCGTATCAAATCAATCTACATCAAACTAAATAACACTATATCAGCTTAAAATAGAAGCTAGAACTCAATAAGGGTGAGTTGTAATCATTCCAAGTAATCTCACCCACTTTACATCCTAACATTCTACTCTTTCTTGCTATTGTTTGCGCCTTCATAACCATTTAACCATTCAAAATCCAACAAAAGCCCAAGGGAAGGTGTTTACCCTTGAACCGAGAGGAATAAACCTCAATAATAGTAAAATATATACTTCATGTCTTCATATGCAATGTACCAAACCAGACTGAATTCAAACACACCAAACCAAATCAGACTATATAATTTCAGTCCAAATAAAACATCCGTAATCATATAGTCACATGTTCATTATCTTGCTCAATTGAAAATGTAAATATAGAACGGCATGTTTCAGTCACAAAAATTGGATTGACCATTGCCCCCTTCCCTATGCGGATCACATCTAAAGCTGATATGTATACAGAGAGCGAGAGATGTATAAACAATATATATACATGTCTGTGTATAGAGTGTTGATCATGTCCAAATTTCCGGATGAGTTTATGTTCCTACTATTCAAATTCAACATCCTAACCATCTTTTTTATCCAACGGTTTACCTCAGAATAGTCGGACAGAAACCCATTCGCAACTTCAGATTGGACCAACCTCTCTATGACTGTATATACACACATATTCATATACATATGCATGCAGCATACATACATAGGCATACATATATATAGCAGCATATACACAAAAGTGAATATGCTTCTCATGTTTCGGAAAAAAAAAGGTCAAGGATCCACATTACATACAACATTACAATCAGACTGTTAACCTATCACAAGCCACAAAGAACTATGGTCTTCGGCCTTCAAGAATCTTATTCACTCAGCTTTGAGTCGAGGCAGCATAGTTGCTGTTTGGAAATGATGATACTACCCCACCACCACCACCATCTTGGGTGGTTGTTTGCTCTTCTGTGGCATGCCTTACGAATTCTTCGGGGGACATGTGTGTTCCGTGACAAGCACACACAATCTTGATCTGGGTAGGGCTATACCTATATGTGACACCCGATATGGTTTTACTATTTGGACCCGACCCCGTTGTTGAAACCCACGGTAGGTTTGGGTAAGAGCCGCAACCACCGAATTTCACATTAGCGGCAAGACCAGGTTTGATTAGGGAGAAATCAAGACGAGTTGTTGGAGGAAGTCCATCTCCTGCTTTGGGCCGTTCAGATGACGTGTCTGCGGGGTCCCTGAAGCTTATGTTGTTGTTTCCTTTTACATTTTTGGATGAACCTTCCTCTGCAGCATGGGGATGTGTTCCATTGCTGGGTGACTTGATTGCAACCACTGGATGTGAAGAAGCTACTTCATGAACACTAACAAATTTTAGAGTTATGAAAAGCCATATAAAAAATATTTTCAAAGTGTAACATTCTAATTACACATTGTAATAAAAAAAACACTTAAAACAACAGTTTCTAATAGTTATGGTTTTATGAAATAAACTTTCCAACTTCCAAAACCTTAAGTGACAATCTTACACATCTTTTTGGCCAAATTTCTTTAGATCTGAAAAGGACAATCAGAACAGGATTACAGTGTCTTGAAAGTGACTCTTGGATAACATTATCTTGTTTTTGTTATGCAGTAACCATCCCATTGACAATGGCCTTTTTGGCAAACAACGCTTTTGAAGGCTTTCAATTTTTTCAACATCAATTAGCTGTTTCAGTAATTATCCAGGAGCTAATTTAAGTGTTTGGTGAAGACTGAAGAGCCTATAAGATTAGCTAAAGTAACAGATAAAAGTCCATTTAAAAAAAGCTTGCTTGGTGGGCTTTATGCGAGAACCTTTTTGAAAAGCTCCTTATTTTATACTACATCTGTTTAACACTCAATGTTCAATGCAGTTCACTTTTGATCTCTAATTTTAGGTAACAAATTTTATCATGTTCAAATTCAATTAATGCGATTTAATACTAATTTAATTCACTTTGTGAATATCTACGACTCTACATTTTAATTTCTAATTCCTATTAGAACATGGAACATTGTAAAGGAGAAGTTTTATCACAAAATGTCAACCTGGAAACTCAAACTTGAAGAATTACTGAGGCTGCAAAGAATCTGTTTCTGTCATCTTCATAAGTAAAATGCGAATATCCATAAAACATAAGAAGAGCAAAAGAGGAAAAACCTTGAGTTATGTTAATGTCAGCACTGTGCTTATCAGAGTTTAAAGAGCCTCGGGCATTAGTCGGATGAAGATGTTGACTGTGAAGATGAGAGGCCGGGGCACAAAATTTGCCTTCATCCACTGAGGACAATTGTACATGAGAATATCCAAACATCCTTGGCATGTTTGAGTTTACGAGAGCATTTGTCCCTGAATAAATGGGATCATTACTATCTTTTAAAGGAATAGAGTAGGGTATGTTTATAACATTCACCGATTGAGAGAAGAGGGGTCCATGTGACATATTCCCAAACTTGACCTCCTTCTCTGAAGAAATCTTAAAACCATTGACCTCCTCATTATTAATCTCAACTTGGTCACTACTTTCTGCCTCAGAATCGGTTACATCTTCATTGTCCCCAGTTGAGTCATCATCCGTGTTAATCGAAATGTGTGATGTCATGGTCTTGTCATGCGAATCTCTGTCGCGTTTCCTCTTGTTGTTTGACTCTCCATACAAGTTTTTATCTGTTGTCTTTTCTTCCACTTCTTCTACTTCAATATATCTACCGCCATTTGGAACCAAGAATCCTCCACTGTTCAACCTTTTAGTAGGATCTGTGTGGACAGTACTGGAAAGGTCATTAAAGAAGCTTCCCTCATTTTTAGCTAGATCACTTCTCTGCAACCCAATAACAGAATCAAGCAATTTTGGACCGCCATCTAGAAAATTCTTGACATCACCGATCACATTGTTATTTCTCTCACCTTCTTCTGTCCTGTCATTTGAGGAGTTCCAAGTTTTACCTTTTTGTGAGGCTGTAACTCTACCACAAGGTAGGCCCAAGCTCAAATTGAGACCATTTTGATCCTCCATGATAATTAAGATAAAGAAGAAAACAGAAGTATATCTATCTATTCAACTCTTCTCCATCTGCATTAGCTTTGATCGCTTAAAAAATGTATGGAGTAGATGAAAATACCGGTTTACCAGTTATCTGCAAAACAAAAAGTAATAACGTTTTCAAAGGAAACTATTACAAAGGCTTTCAATCAGCAAAAAGATCATCTACTTGAGAACTAACAATTTTAACTTCAGCCATTGAGATTGACAAACTGAAAAATGTAGGCATAAAAATCTTATCAAGAACAGAATTAGCCTCTTGGATCGCTGAATCAACCTTGACAAGTTTGTCAAAGAGGGCACCAAGGGCAAGCTAGGTTCCACTTAGTTAGAAGTTGATTAATTACAACAAAAAACTGTTCCCACATCATTAGTCATAATTGAAAATTAGTGTCAAACTGTCAGTTAATTGTAAATAATTAGTTAACAATGAGATGAAACTCTAACACAATTAGTTACTCCTAAATTGGTAGTATATAGTAATGCCCCACTACAAAATGGGTATTATAAAAGGCAACTAAAAATCTCGGATAACAATGCACTGATTGAAATGCATAATTAGATTAATAAAATACTTTTAGCGTACCCCTTTTTCTTTATAAGAAGATAACCGCAGCCAAATTGGGCTTGGGATTTTAACCTCAAGGGCTTTGTCAGAGAAGTATTTTAGAGGTAAGTCGTACAAAGAATAGCAATCACAGCCAAATAAACAAAAATGATCTTTTTCGTTGTCAAAATCAATTGCTTGTCAACCCTAATCAGTAATCAGCACATTTATGTAAACCAAAAACCAGAGAGTGAAAGCTCGCAACATGCCAAAACACCATAATTCCGAATCTTGACTGAACAGAAAACAAATATCCTTGGGTACAGATCTCCGTAAAGACCATCTGATGATTTAAAAAATTTTAAAAAGGAAAAAGCAAAGTGAATTCAACAAAATCGGTGAAAAATGTAATATGACTCTAACCTTAATTTAATATATTTAAGCTAAAGTTCAATACTTTAAGCTTTTTGTGGATCAAAAGACAGACATGCAGAAGGAAGAGCACGCTCACAGGTCACAACAGGGGGTTAGTGGAAGAGTTTTACCTGATGGTGAGAGAGAAGACGAAACCTTGGTGAAGATGAGCCCTGAGCCAAGGAGCTAACGAGGGTTAAAAATGGGGAAACAGAAAAAGGCGGTGGGCTGGTCAAGCAAGTCAAGTGAGTGAAAAATCTAGTCTCCAACAAAAATATTCCCTATAATATAAAATTAGGGTGAAATTGACATCAATAATCTATACTTTTACATATATTACAAAAATAATCCACACTTAAAAAGTTCACAGCAATAATTTCTACTAGTTAATTGTTTTACAAAAAATAAACCGAGTGCTAACGATATTAAATTTTCCGTAATTTTTCTATTTTAATTATATTAAATCGAATATATATAAACATTGACATTACTATATTTGAGTTTAATCTTGTTTCTACTAAAAAATTAATTTAATATTCAATATTTTTCGTAAAACATAATAGAATTTTTTCCATAAAACATAATACTCTTCAAATTCTCTATTCTTTTGCATTCCCTATCCATATTTTTATTTAGGTTCATAGAGTTATTCATTATAATAGAAATGATTTCAAAGTAGTTTTATTAAAAAAAACATTAAATATTAATGAAACTATGTAGAATATTGAATTTCAAAGTAGTTTTATTAAAAAATACATTAAATATTAATGAAACTATGTAGAATATTGAATTAAACTTAAATATATGAGGTTATCGTAGAAAAAGATTAAATTCAAATATAATATTATTAATTTTTATACCTATTTTTTGGTTTGATATATTCAAAACTTAAAAAAATGGAAAAGTTAACACCGTTAACACTCGAGTTGTTTTTGTGAAACAGTTAGATAGTAATTAAGGATTATTTTTGTGAAGTTTATAAGTAGGGATTATTTTTGTAAAATGTGTAAGAGTATGGATTATTGGTGTCACTTTAGTTACTCATATTACTTCCTACTCCATATTACTCTCTTCATATCATTTTGGTTACTCATATTACTTCCTCCGTATCACTTTAGTTATCCCAGCTTCCTTTTTGCAACGAGTCAAATTAATTGTCTCATTTTCTTTTCTTTTCTTTTAAAACTCACCCTTAAAAACAAACTACAGTGGCGCTATAATATAAAAACTTTCTTACTTATTTTAAAGTGTATAATAATTATCTTGAATTGCGTGCAAAGAAAATGGGACAACTAATGTGTTAAGACCATTTGGAGTGGTGATGTATTAGGAGTCCAAAATGTTAAATATGGAATTTTTGGACTCCTGATTGTGTGTAGTGGTGGTTTAAAAGGGGTATTAAAAATGGAGAAGAGGATGGAGGGTGTTAAATATAGAGGGTGAGTTTAGAAGAGTGGAAGAAAGAAAAAATAAAGAAAAAAGAAAAAGAATGGCACCGCTGCATGTTTTCGTTTGGTGAGGACGATATCATGTTGGTGTCACCCTTGCATCATTATATCCCATTTTTTAAAAACTTATATAACTTTTTTATTTGTCATCTAATTTTTTCAAGAAATATATCAAAATTCTTAAAATTTAATGATCTTTCATATGAAATCCATATGTGATATATAAAATCATTTTTTTTTTAATTTTAACTGTTGCAATTTCTTGAGCTAAAAAAACGAAACACAAATTTTTAATTCATGAAATCTTCACAAATAACTGAATATTCTATAATCGAACTTCACTTAAACAAATTCATTTTTTAACCGAAAAATGTTTTAAAAAAAGTTGTGAAAATTATATATTTTTACATCAAAATGTGTATTTTTTATTTCATAATTATTCAGGGGAAAATTAAAAGTAAAACATTACTTATAATAATTTAATTAATTTTTTACTAAATTCAATGTAAAAAAAATGCATAGTGTATTTTATTGATGGTGCACGGATGCAGGGAAAAATAGTATTGACGGAGTCTAAACACTGTTTCCATATGAACGGAGTCTAAATTTAACAATTTGGACTCTTGACCACTACAAATGGTCTAAGAAAGGAGTATAAGTCAACTTATGGATAATATAATACTCTGTATCTTTTAGTGCATGTATTCAAGTTTTAATCATGTGTATACTATAAAAGTATACATATAGTCTACATTGTTGTCCATAATTTTCTATTAATAATACCCCATATATTTTTTTAAAAAAAATATTATTGACTAGAAGTAGAAATATACACTATATTATATATAGTGACTACTATTTGGTTTTAGAAGGCATAAAAATGAATTATAAAACTAATGACTTGAAATATTGTGCTACTAAACGGATTCTAATTAAATAAAAAAATAATTATTAATAATTAATTATTTCTTAAAGTATTAAAATAAAATTAATCGATAAAAATATGATTGAAGCTACTATTAGTATAAATCACTAAACATTACTCCTATAATTAGGGGTGTGCACCGGTCCAAAACCGGACCGGACCGGAACCTGTTTGGACCGGAATCGGAATCTTATTTTTATAAGGACCAGAGACTGGACCTGATACTAACCGGTCCAGACCGACCCGGACCTGAATTTTCCGGTCCGGTTTTAACCCTGTTTGACCCAGTTTTTAAAAAACGTATATTATCTTAGACTTTGTTCTAGACTATAATTTGATGTGCAAATATGCTATATGGACTAAATAATTGTTTCATCCATTTATCAATTTTGGGAAGTAATCTCATGTGCAAATATGCTAAATAAGTAAATAGAATACAATAGACTAAATAAAAATTAAATTGCATCCATAATTAATAGACCAAGGCACACCTGCAGTCTACAAACAAGATGATAAAGTCCTATAAACTACATATATAGACCTTAGGATGTTTTTACTTGGACTGTAATTTGCTGGTCTGGTCTGGTCTGAACTGGTCTGGTCTGGTCTGGTAAGGTCTGGTTTCTTTGTATTTTTATAACTATCCAAGTCTGGTCTGGTCTGGTCTGAACTGGTCTGGTCTGGTCTGGACTGATCTGGTCTGGTCTGGGACAAATTACAGTCCAAGTAAAAACATCCTTAGTGCACACACCTTACTTTTAATTTGCTTGTATAAACCACAGACACTTCCACTTAGGGAAAATCAAACAAATATAAAACCACACATCCACAGTGAAACAAATTTAAAGCAGCCTGGTAAATAATTCGATACTAAATGACTTTCTATTGCATGCAAAACAATCTGGATTGTTGTTTCAAATCATAGCAAAAGTATTTATGAAAATCAAGTCCCGTAAAAAACAAAACTTAGTGCACCAACTCTCTTATTTACTATGTATGTAATTAACCAATGACACGGACCGAACTCAACGAAGCATATATTTTTCGGAGCAATAACTTAACGGGTCACCGGTCCGGACCGGTTTATTCCGGTTTTGATCCGGACCGGACCAGAAACCCGGAATCGTAAAATTCTAAGGACCGAAACCCGGACCTGTTTATAACGGTCCAGACCGGTCCATTCCGGTCCGGTTCAGGTCTAAAATACGATCCGACCCGGTTGATGCACACCCCTACTCAGGGCCATCTTTTAGGAGGTGCAATAAGTGCTTGACACCGGGACCTATTCTTGTAGAGGGCCTCCAAAAATTTAGACACTAGTATTAGTTATAGGTTCATTTTTCTAAATGACATGTATTATTTAAGATTTCAATAGGCATATAATCTTTAAATTTTCTAATTTATGGACTTTAAACATCATAAAACTTATATTTCATTGAATTGTCTAAACCATTTGTATTTCATTGTTAAAAATTGCATTTTTCTTGTCTTAGGGGCCTCAATTTGTCATTTGTAACCGGGACCTCCAAATTCATTAAACGGCCCTGCCCCTACCTATAATCACTATGTTTAAAATGTCACATTTTGTCATCGTATTTTTTTATTTTTTATGATATCATATTTATTTTCGTTATAAATATGTTACGAGTATTAAATTTAGTTATAATAACTACTACTACTAATAATAATAATATTAATAATAAAAAAGATGGATTGATCATTGATTGAAGCACGTGGTTTGTATGATACTATGATGTACGAAATAAGGCCCAAGTTGGTATGATAGATTCCAGGAACCTCCCTAGTCCCTACCTCATTAATACTGTATTATTATTTGAAAGATAATGATAGCTTGAGAAAGTTGGAATATGGTTTGGCGAATAAAACAGCCTTTTTGTCACCTTCATTCGAATCAAAGAATGCTGACTTATTTAATTAAATTAGATGAGATGTAACATTTTGAAGTATTAGAATTTTTTCAAATTCTCTGACATTTCTCTTGACGGCTAACATTTTTTTTATTCCCCGTCTAGCAAGAAAACTAATCCAAAAAGTACGTCCTCTTAAAACTGGGACAAAAAGAAATGACATGATTTTTAAGAAATGTAGAGTTGTGTGATTGATAATGAATTGATAAAGTGTAATATTACATTTGTCCACAATAAGCATTTTCAATAAATAACAACATTGTCAATCAGTGCAAACAGTATCGAAACAATGTCAAAACAGTAAATTTTACGGTTTTTACCCCTGACAAGTTTATTTCCTTAATATGTGTAGATAAAACTAAAAACTTTTTAGCGGGACAGAGGTAGTATAAGAGTGAAAGTGTCACTCTCGCTGTACATAAAAAATGAAAAACTGTAAAAGAGAAAATGAAAAAGTAAAATTGATTTTAATTAATTACTTTATGAAACTAATTAGAACTACGATAGTAACTTAGCAAGTTCATCTATCCTGAGGCCCACATTTACATGATCTTGCCTCGCACCTTTTCTTGAAACTTTCCTCTCATTTACAATCTGAACTAAAGCAGTACTCTCTTCAGCTAGTCCACTCATGGGGGGTTCTATTATTCCTTGAGCCTCCAAAAACCCAGTTTCTTGTTTGTTGACCTGCTGATCTGGTGCAGCTTTTTTGCGCTCATGTCTAAAGACAGAACCTGGTGGTGCAGATTTGGCCAGAGAAATTGCCGATTTGTATACATTGTCAGCATCCAAACAAGAATCATCTAAAACAACCGCACTCCCGCTTTCAATCGCCCGACTCAAGAGCAATGTAAGGCCCTCTGTCCAAACCGGCTTATTGCTGTTGTTTAGGTTTTCTGGTTCAGCTTGCTGCTGCTGCTGCTCATCCAATGGGACCGGAGATGAACATTCTAACTGCTCCTCGCGCGAAAGTGAAGTCTCAGATATTCTCTTGTTTTCACTCCCTTCTTCAGGATGCACTGATGGTGATGCTTTCTCCTCTAAAGGAGTAGCTAAGGATGCATTGTTAGCTATAGTTTCCGTTCTCTTTGGTTTATCTTCAATGTCAGGTGTATAGGGTTTCCACTCTCGTCCCCTCCACATGAGTATATGTTCATGCTCAAATGAGATTAACACACATGGAACAAGATCCTGCAGTTCAAACAACTATCAACTCTATGCAAATGATCACTAGGCCAAATATTATTAACCGGCTTAGCTACATCGAAATATTAGTGAGACATATGCATATATAAGGTCTTGAGTTAGACTTGCTATTTGATTGTGTTTTAATCATTTGGTGCACTTGGCTCATTTGGCTTTGGAAATAATGCATAAACAGAACTACAACAAAACAAATTTCTTTGAATAGGACCCTTATTGTTTTCTTTCAAAAACCATAACTCCTTTACTACTAAAATAAGAACTGTTAACTAATTTTATTCTACTGTAATGACAGAATGAATCCAATTTTTAGTACACAAGCAAAATACTTCAATTTTGTGAGCATGACTATTGTTTTACTCCTATATACAGTAATTTAGTTTTACATGATTACGTGATGCCTGCCCACTGAATGGTTTGCAAGAGACTCCCATACTCCCCCCCTTTAATCGTCTAAACAGACTTGGGCATCAAAGCCGGAGGAGATGAGGTGTTGATATACATCATCATTTGTCTATTGTAGTATATATGTAAGAACTAAGAAGTAAATCCCACCTCTCAAGGATCTTTTTGGGGTGAGTTCAGCCCCATTAAGATTCACATTATCAATTCTTTCTCGTTCGTATATCCAACTCCCGATATAAAATAACAAAAATGCATAATATCTACCATACCTTAAGTTTTGCACCTATCTTCCGGTAGTCACTTGGGTTCGTCCCTTGGCAGTTGATTCTCACCAACTCACAACTATCAAATGCGTCTCTAACATTCTTCACAAGGTTAGTGTATACACCATTTTTTGCTGCAAATACATAACATTTTATATTAATAACCTTCTTCAATATGCAAATTGATGCGAAAAGCCGAAAATGGAGGAAAAAAAGGGTCAGCTTACCAATCTTGCAAATTGGCAATAAATTGCGTCCTTTTTTACGCATTTCAGATGCTTCCTCTAATGTTAGGCCCTCAGGAACTTTTTGCACTAGCTTAGGATATACCGGAGTAATGGGACGCCACAACATCAGAGGGAACCTTGGGCGTGTTTTGTAGTTGTAGTTTCTGCCACGAAAGAGGTAAATCACACCACCTTGACTATATATAATTTTGCCTCCTGTCTTTTCCTGTTATTTCACACAATTCAATATTTTAGAAAAATTTAAAAAAAGGATCGTTATTGTAGAGATGCAACACCAACCAACATATAATCTTGGCAACAACATATAACCTGAAGTTACCAACATGGTCTTTGCGTTAATTGGAAGTTAACAGAATTTCTAACACAAAGAACCATACTACAACCTTCATAAGGACCAAGTGAGGTAAACAATTAGGGACAAGTTTGTTGCCCGATAATGTTATTCAAGGGAAATTGAAAACAAACAAACCTCCAGTTTCTCTCGTACATTCTGCATGTCTACAGTACACACCCCTTTGCACTTTATCTTGCACACCCTCTTTCGCTTCCAAAGAGCGTGTATGTTCTCTAACATATTATGGGTCAGTCCGTCTCTTCCTACAAAATGAAATGGCAAGCATCAGTAGGAAATGAGCAAGTATACACCACTAGCAGTGATCGAAAAAATGTATCAGAGGTCCATCGATATCATATCTTACTAATTTGGAGTTCAAATTATAAATCAAGCAGGCAGTGCAAGTCCATGACCCACAATGTTTAATTTCAAAAAGAACACCAGCATATCTGTATAACTACCCAAATTAAGCACTCTGTGTAAAACAATGCAGTACCTCTGTATTGATTTACATACCCATATTCAGTTGTCGTTTCGAGTTCTTACAGCTGTTAATGTGCTCCTCGATTTCCTCCTTTGTCAAAGGTTCCCCCATGATATCCTCCCTTGACTTCGCATACTTTGGTCCAGACCCTGCCAAGAAAGGACCCGGAGCTTGAACTGGCTTCACTCCCTTCTTATGGGGAGGAGGGAGCTTGAAGGAATCAAATTCTGGCAACTTCTTCTTGCTAGGAGGGAGGGGCTTTCTCCCTGTCCATGGTCTTGTCATGGTTTTCGACTCAAAGGGCATTACTAATGGCTCCCTGAGCTTCAAAGGCTTCACCTTTGGTGTCTCGGTGTAACTATACTGGTACACGAATGGAGCTTCTGGGAACTCATAAGTGACGCCATTTTCGTTAACACTGATGTTGGTGCTCGATTCTTGTGGTTCAATCTTGGGCTCATCCGCGTCAGTGCGGCGGTAGATTTTGGAACTTCCGCCCACATCTGGGATCTTCCTGAGACGAACAACGGGCCGAAAGGCCGGGTGTGGGGGCCCAGAATCCTTGGGAGGTTTAGAGTATTTCGATTTCTTACCTGGAATGGAAGGCTTGGAAGGAGCAGAGGGGGTGCCGATGGATTTAAAGGTGCCGGTGACCGGAGACGGAGGGGCAGGACTGTAATTGCTGATGATGTTGAGGGCGGCGTTATGTCGCTTGTGGAAGCGGATCTCGTCTTCGATTTCCTTCTGGGTTCGCTCCTGGCGTTTGAACTTCTCAGCGTTGGCGTTGTTCCACCGAGAAAAGCCCACCGCGGTGCCGGGCCTGTGGTGGTGGGATGGAAATGGTGGCGCGAAAATAGGGCATGAGATAAGGGGTTTGGAAGCCATATTCCATGGGCATTTTTCGAGGGGCTTCGATTTTTGTTTCAGAGGCAATTTTGGGCAGGAGGAATCTGTTTGCTAATAGTGGTCACTAGCCATTAGCCAATAGTGGTGATTTGGTAAAACTTTGTGTTTTACGAGACTTTTGGGCAGGAGGGATCAGTTTACGAGACTTTTGGCATTTCGAACGCTTCTCGTTCAAATTTGGGCAAGAGGAATCAGTTTACGAGACTTTTGGGCATTTGGAACGCTTCTCGTTCAAATTTTGTAATGAATTTTTTAAGAATGTCCTAGTTTATTCATATCAAATTTCATTTCAAAATTCGATCGGGAAGGCATTCAAATCCTTTTTTGAAATTCACTGCGTTTTTATATGTATATTTTGACGCAGTGAACTTCAAAAAATGATTTGAATGTCTTCCCGATCGAATTTTGAGCTGAAATTTGGTATGGATAAACTAGACTTGATGAATAACATGCTCGAAAAATTGCATCAAAAAAATTGATTGGAAAGTGTCTGAAATGTCCTCGGTCAAACGGCGGTTCCCGTCAGGCCGGCTGGACATGAAAGTTTCTCTTTAAAGGAATTTATAATTTCATCAGAATCTGTCGGCCCTCAATTAGGATTGTGAAGGATTCTTTAGAATATTACACGTCCTCAAATTTTTCATGGATTTTTATTGTCTTGGATTTAGCCTGATTTAGATAGAATTATATACGGAGTCCTAAAACCAAGGCCTTTTTTATCGATATTACTATTACCATACGGATTCCCAATAAAGTAAGTAGTGTTAAAAATTCCAAAAACATGACTCTGAAGCAGTTAGAGACCATCGAATTTAAAGGCTAAAATATAACTCTCATCATGGCATCACTCAATTTTAATGCAAAAAATAGGAAGTTTGCATTGATGGTGATGGAGTATATGGCCCGGGAACCCCCGACCCACAGACTCCTACTATTCCAGTGCAGGCCCAACAGGCCCAAGAAGCATAGGAGGCCCAAAGCACGACGTCCCAAGCCCAAGGAGCCCACTACGCCCATATAGGTGCCTTCGGCCTCCTCGGCAGAGGGCTTCAAATCTCACAGAACTACCGGATTTGAGCATACAAGGTTACTGGGAGAAAACGGCGTAAGACAGTAGCCCTCAGCTACCAAGAGCCTTCGGCACTTTCGTGCCCTCGGCATCAAGGAAGCCTTCGGCACCTTTGTGCCTTCGGCTACACAGGGCCCTCGGCCGCGGGAAGAGCCTTCGGCCAACAACTCAATCATCGAAGATTCTCTTTGGAGACAAGCAACCACCACATTTAATGCGGCGTCACATCCACCCACCGCATTCAATGCGGTGCACATGCAAATGCCAGCGCCACCCGATTGAGGTGACCCCCCGGCCGTTAGATGATCGCCACGTGTACTCTCATCGCATTTATTACTGCTATAAATAGCACCCCCTTTTCCCATTGTAAAGGACCAGAACATCTCGAGTTCATAAATATAATCGCCTCTCTCTCCTACTTGTTTGCTCTGACTTCTCTCTAGGTTATTCTCATAATAACCCCTCGGATAAGCTACCCCCCCCCCCCCCGTACACTGTCCATGAGATGGTATATTCATCCCATCCTCAAATTAAGGAAATAAGTAAATGTGAGTCGTGACTAATGCAAGTTTCTAACAAGGTTTCGTCATCACAAAACTCATATCAACATAAATAACCTTTAAAAGGTTATTTTTCGGCAAACTGATCACTTTGACTTCTAAGTCTATTCTTGAACTTAGAATCACCTTCTTATCCCTCATTCTACACTCCTAAACAAGTATAGGGTCCCTCAAAGGGTTCATAAACCTATATGTTTAATAATTTAAGAGAAAAGGTTTTATGAGGTCCTTACCTTGGTTTCTCTTAGTTTTTCCTTTCTTTTCTCACTTCTTCTTCTTCTTCTTTGGACCTTTATTGGTTGAGCTCTCCTCAAGAATGGAGGTGGTTGATTGGGTCGAAGTGTATGAGAGGGAAGAGAATGAGAAGGCCCCATCTTTGTCTTACTTTGCAAATAAGTGTGGGAGTGAGGTCCACACTTATTTGATTCCTATTATATCATCTCACCCACCCTTCTATCATGTTGAGCAACCCTTCCTTGTCTCAAGAGACCATAAAAACGTGGGGTGGCCCCCACTCATGTGAGAGGTCATCCCAACTTGTCTTGGAATGTACATTTAGCCCTCAAAGTTGTATTTCTCAGATTGTTTTAATTATATTTTATTTTATTTGGTCAAATAAAATATATTACATGTTCTAAATCACTATGGGCATTTAGAATGAATATACATTCTGCAACTTTAATTTAAAAAGTCTCTGAAATTTATTTCGGGCTATTATATGATGAATTGTCAATATCGTTAATTGGGCCTCGTTTGACCAACCGGTCAACCCTATGGCTTTTCCATGGCCCAAATAAAATGCCCACCACCATATAATATTATATAGACCAAGATGAATAAAATATGTGGTCCTGGAAATATCTGGTGGTCCTCGCTCCTGGTGTGGGTCCCACGTGCAATTTACTTTTTTTACTAAATGTGCAATTTACTATACACACAAAAGTAATAATAAAATTTACAAACTCGTAAATTCATTAACCATTTCATAAGGTTCAATACATTATTTACATAAAAAAATAAATGTACTTGGGGACAATGTTAAATTTATCACCATGCCAACTTGTTTAATATTCTAAATCATATTATTAAGCATATCCAATTTTCATCAATGTCTTATGTTGGGTCAATCCTAAATCGAAAGAACTTCTCAATCAAAAATAATTTACATGAAAGAAAAGTGTGAGTATAAAATTTATCCAACTTATCCTACAAATCTTTAGAAGAATCCATAATACCTATTTTTCTAATTACATAGTCAAACAAGTTCAACTAAATGGTAGGACAATTCACTTATCTCAGTTTCATTTCAAATATGATCGGTTTCTTTCATTTCAATAATTTCAGAATCATCATCAGTTTCAAGATACAATTCACTAACAACTTAACTCCCAAACCATGATGTTAGATAAACAAACATTTGATCTTCTATTCCAAATATCAAATCAATTGTACCATTACGATGCGTATCTGTTAAAGCATTTGTCCCAACACCGGAAAGTTATAAAACAATTAATCACTATGTAAGGCTTTGGACTACTCCCCCTATCACGTTGACCTTTTAAGATGGAACCCTGGGTCTTAACATGGTATCAGAGCCAATTCCGGTTGTCGTTTGACGGCTTGTTTAGCACCCATGATTAAAGGTAGCTTGTTGAGGGTTTGTTTGACCCGTTTATACACCTCGATATTGTCCAGCCCGGCTCGGGCTGAGGGGGCGTTTTAAAGCATTTGTCCTGCACCGGAAAGCTATAAAACAATTAAACACTATATAAGGCTTTGGGCTACTCCCCCTATCAGGTTGACCGTTGACCTTTTAGGATGGAACCACGGGTCTTAACAGTATCGTATTGGTTCACAGAGATGATCATGATACATAGAACAATAACCAAGGGATAAGTAAGCAAAGTGAGACAAATGAATAAATAAAGACCAAGAAACAAAGGGCTAATAGTGTGAGTGCCAATACTGTACATCCGGGTGTACATACATCCGGCTTTTAAAATCGGGTAGACCCGTTCTTTAGTACCAAACCCGGATTTGAGAACTGGATTCCTTCATTAAAAAACGTAAAACACCAGCAGGATTCGATCCCTATACTAGACCTGGATTATAGCATGCGGCCTTCCATCCATCTTGCTTACTTGCTTTGTTATTATAATCCGTTCTTTTAGCTTCCTTATCCTACATATTTTCATACTTCGTACTACAATTGTTTATTAATAGTAATTCAGGGAAAACTGTCAAATAGGTCCTCGAACTTTCATAAAAAAGTCAATTAAGTCCTTCTATAGGAGACTCTGTCCGGTCGTCGCGATTTGGGGCGGTTCCCGGTGGAATTTTTTGATGAAAATTTTTGAGCATCTTATTCATCAAGTCTAGTTTACTCATACCGAATTTCAGCTAAAAATTTAATCGGGAGCGCATTCAAGTTAATTCGAGAACGCAAAAATGTGCAGTTATCTTCAAGAATTAATTTGAATGTGTTCCCGATTGAATTGTTAGCTGAAATTTGGTATGAGTAAACTAGACTTGGTGAATAAGATGCTCAAAAAAATTTATCAAAAAAATTCCACCGGGAACTGCCCCAAATCGCGACGGCCGGACAGAACCTCCTATAGAAGGACTTAATTAACCTTTTTATGAAAGTTTGAGGACCTATTTGACAGTTTTCCCTAATAATTAACTATTCTTTGCTTTTGCTCATTATTACTACCTCCGTCCCATTTATATTGTCTCTTTATGGTTTACGATGTTTGAACGACAATAAAGCAAACAGATCCCTGTCCGCACTCAAATTATTTTTAGGAAAAAAAATACATATTCAGAAACTACATTTAAAGCTTTACAAAGTCGCAAAAACCTGAATCAAATTTGATACATTTTTTATATAGGGATAAGGCTCAAATTGGACACTATGGTTTCATCAGAATCTCATATTTGACACTAAGGTTTTAAATGGACCAAATTAGACACTATGGTTTCATATGTATCTCATATTGGACACTAAAGTTTCATAATTCAATATAAGTGAGTGTCCAATTTGATTTTTATCCAATATAAGTGAGTGTCCAAAACCTATGAATTATGAAACTTTAGTGTCCAATATGAGATACATATGAAACCATAGTGTCTAATTTGATCCATTTGAAACCTTAGTGTCAAATATGAGATTGTGATGAAACCATAGTGTCCAATTTGAGCCTTAAATTGGACAATATAAATGGGACGGATGGAGTACTATATTAAAAGACTAATTCATATTTTTGAAGTATTTATTTGACCTATGAATCATACTTATTAGGTTCCTAATAAGTCTGATGCTCATCGAAAGTGTTTTAATGCTCATAATAGGTCTGATGCACATTAAAAGTTCAATAATGCTCATTTAATAAAAATTCTGATTTTCATCTTAATAGATGAGG